AAGAACCAAAACGAATCGTCGAGTAAGGACTATTGTTTTCCTAAATAATGAACTCTTGTTGTGTTTTATTGTTTATTAATCAGTTTTAAATACTACATTCAACATCTGATTAAGGAAAAATAACTTTGGATTGCACTGGTTTAAAAGTACATACATTAACTTGATTGCATATTATTAAGACTACAATTTTCTTTCTAGTATGCAATGTGAAATTTTATATTTAATAAATTTTATTTCTACATGCCAAGTGAAACATTAATAAAGTTCTAAACTTCTTTCTATATTCCAGATGAATATTTATATGTATATACATATGAATGTGAGCTATGTGAATTTATATTAGGGTTACTCATCTATACGCGCAATTTTTATATATGGGCAACTTTGCGCAGTGAGGAAATTTATAAATCTTTTGTTAAATTTTGGACAGTTAAATATTTGACAAGTCCCAATTAAAAAAGTTAAACAATTAAAATCCAAAATGCCGAAAGAAATCAAACCGCGAGAATTTATAAAGTTATACGACAACTACATTTAAATTAAAATAAAAGCAAACAAAACAGCTGATTATTCGTTGCACGCCACATAGCGCAAATTTTATGGCCCTATTATGTATGGCGACTGAGGTCTAGTTGCTGGTCTAGTAGCCATGGCTAACAGTATCGTACTTTGTATTATGGATAGCGATTCATCTCAGAACACAGAAAAGCGCAGACGACATCCGAATTTATTTTTTTTTTACATATACATTTCGAAGTAATTTCAACTTTGCTCCAATGTGTTTAACAATTTATATAAACAAATAACAAAATCGTCATACACGAGAAACAGAAAATGCCGCTACTACCCTCAGTAGCCGACAATCAGTAGCCAGTCGCCATACGTAATACGAATTTTAATATATGGTTGCCTATCGGCTATCAGTCGCCATACATAATAGGGCCATTATTAGTCACAAAAACCTTGCGAACGGCTGCCCTATTTGTGCAAAAGGCTTTTCATACAAATGTTTACATTTCATTTGTGAGGCTTTGAAATTGCACAGTGTGCTAGTGTTTTGCGCTTTTGGATGAGTACCCTTATTATGAATTTTTAATTAATTTTCTGATTACATTTCATATTAATAATAATTATAATGTGAAAATATTAAAGCAAACTTTTTTCTTCATTACAGATGAAATTATTAATGTGATACTAATGTGAAATTTTAATTTTTTTATACATTCCATGTGAAAATATCTGGTCATACCCAATAACCGCTGAAGTTGAAGTGTATGTGAAATATTCTGCTCGCTAGTAGCTAAGCTATTATTTTAAGGGTCTCAGACGAAAATATTTTGGTTTCCCCACAAGGCTAACCTTACGCTTTTCCTCGAATTCGGGGTTTTCGACTTAGGCGGTTATTGTTTTTGAACACAGATATTATTACAACTCTAAATTTCTTTCTTCATTCCAGATGCAAATATAAATTCGAGTTCGCAATGTGAAATTGTATTATTTCGTATTTTATTTTTATGTTATATATTAATAGTAATAACAATAATGTTAAATTGTACTTATTTGTATTGTATTTTTTTTTTACATTTCATGCCAGACATATAAAGCAGGTGGCTGCAGTAGATCAGCCGATTTTATTTCCTTAAAATTTTTTGGGCTCCATACAATTAATTTCTATATACAAGTAGTTCAAATAATCACAAGCAATCAAATTATTTTGCAAAGCGAATGTGCATCTGTTTCTTGCAAATATTTTAAATGCTAGCAAATCAATTTGATGAAAAATTTTATTTTGACACTTTATGAGCCCATTACCAACAAAATACATATACATTTTGTCTTTCTTATAATATACATATACTCTTATACTAATACTTTCGCGCACGTAGTTATTAGTAATTTTTTTTGAAAACGAGTATTTGCTTCACTATTGGAATTTTAAAAGTAAGTACATATACAGGGGGTCCTAGACCTCCCGTCCACCCCTTCTAAAATGGAGGAAAATGTTTTTTATTGGAAAACGTAGGGATATGAACTACCCAGTCGAGCATGATCTATCGGTTGCTCGTATTACCGACTTCCGGTTTCGACCGGAAGTGTGCTAAACTGACCAGAAGTCATTTTTTTTTTAATTAGATACATACATATTTTTACCACAGATTCGGAGTTTGCGCATCAAAATACTTTTATTTGAAACTTTTTTCACAGAAGTGCCTTTTTCAGCCTTCGAACTTCGGTTGTCAATAAACATTTTCCTCCATTTGAGAAGTGATGGGCGGGTGGTCTAGGACACCCTGAATGCCGCTATGTTATATTCACATAATTTTATTATTACTTTAAAATTTACATAATTAACTAAAAACTTTTGTAAGCTAATATGTTCTTTCAGTTATTTATGGTAGCGATGGTTTTTACTTTTTGAAGCATAAGCAAAGTTTTTTGGCTCGTGAAAATCTGAAATAACAAATAAAAAACCAGATTTTAGAATCGTTTATATAATAATATAGTAATTCTCCAAAATAAGCAAATTCGCTGATTATTGAATCAGCGCAATTTTTTTAAACGATCATTAATTTACAGAGCAAATTTTTAAATTTACTACGGTTAATTCATTGCGTGGGAGTTTTTTAAAGAACGATATTATCTAACTTTTTGGATGTACCTACAGCATCTTCCAGATTGTCCCTGGTAATCAGAATTTCAGCACAGCATCTGCAAATTAAGAGCAAATATGATGTACATATGTATCTTATATTACGGGTATTCATCTTAACGCGTAAATGCCTCGTTTTCCATACAAAATTTATTAATTTTGCAAGGTTTGCAGGGTTACGAGGCACTTACGCCTTTAGATGAATTGCCCTATTAAATTCCAATTTTGATGGATGAGCATCTGGCATGACGGAATTTGCTTCCGAACAAACAACAAAGGTAAGATATAAAACAAGTTCTATTTGTAGTAATTACAAAGAAATTATCTTACGTTTTTTTGTAACCATATGAGTGGCTTCTCCCGTATTCTACATACAATTTTATTTCCATGTTTCCAAAAATTTTGATGGGTGACCCTTCGTTTTCCGTGGGGCAGGCATTTTCACATTTGCTAAGCATGAATCAGCCGATTACGATGCAGTTTTGTCCGAATCGAGCGACAATTGCGATATATCCAAAACGCTTTCAATAAATGAACTAGGCAATGAGTGCTCTTCAATTTGCGAATCTTGTTGCGTTTTGCCATCTTTTTTTACTTTAACTTCGAGGTCCAGCCCTTGTCTCCATGCATTTTGAATTAAAATAAGTTGGTGTTTTTTCTTGTCGAAGTCGGAAGAACATGACTCGCTGCAAGATACGAGTATATCGTCGAGAATCGGTTTCATAATTTTTCGTTTTCCATTAACGTTAAGCTTTCTGCGTTTGTCTTCCTTTGACGTACGCCTTAATAAAGGTGTCGTTTTAGTACTACTTTTGGTAATACCACTGTCTCTGAGGCGTGGGTGCGTTTCAAGCATTGATTCCTTGGTCCACCGTTGTGGACACAACTCCGGAGCAAATAGTGGCATTTTAAGAAACTTTCTTACAGCGAAAATATGCTTACAAGGCAGTGAGGCCATAGAAGAAAGAAAACTACATTCGCAATCTGTTGGCGTAGCTTTGAAAGTTTCTTCAGCTTCTTTTACTGAAAATTGCTTCTTTCGGATGCAATATTTCACAGCTAAAATTCTGTCCGTAGAGGCTGCAATTTCATCTTTCACTTTCTTGAATGGTATTGGCATTAAGATGGCCATAAATTTTTTTTCATCTAAAAGTAAGTTGGTCGCATCTACTGGCTGCTTCAAAAATGCATTGGACGTTTTATAATCCGATTCATTGTTATGGAACTGCAGCCAAACGAAAAATGATCCTAAGAATTGGAGCTGTGAACTTCTTTTGGGGATCACGGCTTTTAAGTGCTTGTTGATTGACTCTAACCTGTTGTTAGTGAAGTTGCCTAAGTTTTGGTCCCGCATACTAAACGCGGTCCACTCATGAAATATGTTGTGCCAGTTTTTGTTGAAATATTCTAAAATTTCTCTATTTGCGACTTCACATAATAGTTTATAAATTTTGGTGTACTCCTCCATTGAGCCACTATAAACCATATCTTGTAATAATTTTAGACAAATTTCTTTCATTTGTGTTTCTCCTCTTCGAGTAGGAATTTGTCGCGAAAATGTTTTCAGGACGTGATAACGACAGATGTAAATAGGTACATTTGGGAAAACTTCTCTCAAAACGTCTCTTTCTAGTAAATCCTTATCGGCCATAAAGCACTTGATTTGTGAGTGGTTATCGTGACTCAATTTGAACGCATCAATAAGCCACTTAAATATCTCGCGGTCCTCTTGTACGAGGAGTGATATTCCCACAACCTCACTTCCTGTGTTAGAGTCCTCGACCAAAAAAACCATAAGGGTCAGGTCAGTAGCCAAAAGTTTATATGTACCATCTAAGAAAATAACTTCGCCCCATTTAAGCATGGCAGCCTTCATTTGGTCTGTGCAAAAATAAAGACCTTTAAATACGTTGCCCTCGCCAACAAAAATTTCTATGGACGAAGCTCCTAAACCAATAAATAATATTATTTTTATTCGGTACATACAAAAAAACAAGATGGGGACTGAAACTACTTTCTCTCACCGTGTGTAACCTCTAATTCTTTCACGAAAAGTTGTAGGCTCTCCATATCGGCATCAGATTTCTTTATTTTTGCGCTAAGATTTCTGTAGTACTTGGCATTGCGCCTTACACCGTGCACATTACATTTTAGTTTGAGAGCATCCTCAATTTTTTCTTTAACAGCGGGATCTAGGGATGTAGTCATAAAACATCTACGCAGAAAATAGATGCTTTTATTTTGTTAAATTTTTGTAAGTACTTGTAGGAATACCTTCGAGTGATCATGGTTTGCGTGATCAATATTCGCCTCCGTTATTTGTAAATACTCTAGACTGTGCTCACTATCTTTTCTCACTCTTACAGTGATTGACGCTGGGCAACCACATTTGATTGTTCTATTATTGGATATAGTAAGTATGATATACAATATAATAATAGGATCAGTTAAAGAATTCATTCATGTACCGATTTTTGTGAAGTCTATGAAAACGACATCACTTAATCCGAATTTTAATAAACTATCCAAGAAAACACAATCTCGAATGCTTGTAAATATTTGATGCCAGTATCAGGAACCTAGGGCATTTCTCTAACTATTGTGGGAACGACAGCGCTGATAGATCTAGGTTAGAACTCAATTGCCGATAAGAAGATCAACAACTTAAAATATATGTAATAAATAGTATATTTAATAAACAATCTTATTTAATTTAAAGGGTTGAAAACATAGGTTAGGTGAGGGTCGGAATGCGCATACGAATGACTCGTACTTCCACTCGGAGGCAGATTTGCCCACTGTGAGTGCCAGGCACATCCTTCTAACCGAGGTTAATCCATAATGTCAGTATAAAGTCTGTTAAAGCATTTATTATCCCGGATGAAGTCGTGGATGTTCGATATTTTCACCTCCGATATCTCCCTCGAGCTATTCGGCCCTATGCTGAATATCGTCATCGTCGACGATCGTCAGCGTATCAGTAACATAGTTGACGATGGCCGTATCGTCACTTTTACTGACGATGACGATATTCAGCATAGGGCCGATTGAAAAAGCGTGAGACGCTTTTTCTGAAGAGCTGGGTATTGACATAAGAAACGGTGAATCGATTCCTCTTCATCCTTATCCCGATAGCACAGTGCCTTGTGATTACACCGGTAAGAGCCCTAACTGCAGATTTGTTTAGTGTCAATAGTTCCTCAGTACGACTCTTATTGAGTCTCCGCCACAAGGATCTTGAGACCTCACAGTCGTCCCAATTGATCCAAAGTTCATTGGTTGTATTCTTCGATCCCCCTTGGCAGAAAAGAAATCGGTGGCAGTAGGGAGTTGTCCGCTCGGAAATTTGCATTTCCGACCGTGTCTAGCCATCTCATCGGCTAATTCGTTCCTTTCTATATTGCAATGTCCAGCAACCCAGCAGAGAGGTTTTGACGTGACTCAGTAAAGCCAGCGTTGCACGAAATTTCCGAACTGCTTTCGGTGAAAACATACCACGTGCTATATTACACTGTTCAGCAGTCAGCAGGGGAATTTATAAAACCAAGTTTTTCTGAAAGTCTGGATCGTATATATATAGAAAAGTAATTTCTCCCTTTTCCCTTTTCTTTTTAATTGAAACGGCCACTGGGAGCGCTTTGTTGCAAAAAAAAACTTCTAGGGGATTCCCTTATACTCGTAAAGTCCTAAACTGTGTAAAACTCATAAGTTTACGAGGCTTTTACGGGAACGCCCTCGTTATACAAATGTGTAAAGATTTACGTAAAGTGACTGTTTGACAGTTTGAAAAGGGTTTTGTGAATACATTTTTGTTTCGTAGTATTTTTCATAACAGCCCGTGAGATCGAATGAAAGCTAAAACATAATTAAAAATGCGAGAATTAGCAGAAAACCCATGTAAATACAGTTAGTGGATGAAATTTATTAATTTTACACTGAAGTTTACGAGGTCGTTTGCGCATCAAACTTACCTCGTAAATTTGCAAAGGGCTCGTAAATAGAGCTCCATACAAGTTTTGACAGTTCTTTTACGAGGCACGTAAATTTACGAGCTTTGCGAGGTTAACGAGGTTTTTACGAGTTTAAGGGAAGACCCTTATTATGAAACTTGGTTTGCACTTTTTTCACGTTTTTTGCATTAAAGCGCAACCCAATGGCGGTTTATGGTAAAAATAAATTGCAAATTCAGATTCAAGGAACGTCTTTTCAATCTATAAATATTTGCATTTAAGTCACTTTTATTTTTTTTTTAAATGCTGCTTTGCGACCACCAAATTTCAATTGAAGAAAAGCGCTTAGAATTGCCAACCTGGGAAAACTGAGAAACTTCTTTTATATACATATACATACAATCCAGACTTTAAGAATAACTTGGTTTCATCAATTTCCCAGAAAAAAAAACTAAAATTGTCGTACACTGTTATAAGCCCCCACATATAGACAAGCTCTTACAATTATCTTTTTTTCGTCATTTAATTGCCAATTACATTCACCAATACCAAACTATGCTCTCTACAATCGTTAGTTAACACTAATGTCTGCCGGGTGTGTATTCAAATCATGTCATGCTCATACCAATTCGAATTCAGTGATATCGCTTTCGTAGTTCCACGAAATCCAACTACGATTATTATATCATTATTATACATATTGGCTCGTAGTTATAGTTGAAATAATGTCGACTCTAAAGTTAAAAGCAGATTTTTGATATAACTTTCAATGGTATATCTGTAAAAACAAACTGCTTTTAACTTTAGAGTCGACTTTATTTTGACTATACTAGAGTTCACTCTTTCATGCGAAACTGTGTGCGTTTGAGCGAAAGTGCGAAAATCGGCAACAAACAAACATATGGCACCGTTATGGCGTCGTTTCGCACAAACGCACTGCAAAGCAACAAAACAAAGGCTAATTTTTGTCTTTCGCATTTTCGCATCCAAGAGTGAACTCTACTTATAACTACGGGACATTGTGACCATAAATTTAATTTATAAAAACACAGAACCAAAATTCGCATAAAAACAAATACCATTTAAATGGCCTTGATTTTTAAGGTGATTAGAAAAGCAACTTCCATTAGTAGCATCTATTAAAATCATTATAGAATTTTAGCTAAAAATTGATTCAATTAAAAATTGAACTTATAAATTTAAAAAAATCCCTTTCAGTTTTGATAGTGTCAAATTTCAGACAAGTTAACTTAAGAGGTTAGGAGTTTTTAAGAACAAATTTTCAATCTACTGTTTATAAAGAACAACGCGAATTTAGGGCTTAAATTACTAATTCGGCAATTGTTGCATTTAGCGTTTTTCTAAGAAAAATCTGTATTTATATACGCAGTTCTATCAGAAACACTACACTCTAAAAAGTGCACGTAAAACTGCTGCTGAAAAGTGTCTATTTCTCAACCAGAATCTGTGCTAACATACGCATAAGATGTTCAAGATTTGATTTTGAGCATTAGATTTTTAAAATATACACATATACAATAACAAACATAAAGTGCTCATATTTAGTCAACTTCAAACATTTTATGTGTAATTTTTCTCTACGCGACAAATTTGGTATGTAAAAGTAAACAGACAGCGTTTGAGTTTGCACACATTAGCAGAGGAAACTGGTTACCTCTCTTGATATGCGTAAATTTCAACAACAATTTTTTAGAGCAAATTTAATATATTTGAATTTTATATGTAAACCGTGTAATTGTTAACACTAATCCTACACAATTTTGTTCGGAAAATTATTATTTTAAATTTTAACAGGCTGATAAATTTAAAATTGACTGGTACAACCGGGCATAAGTGTTTAGAATTCACAAAACAAACTTGAAATTTGTTCTACGCCACACATATGATAAGCTGTGTTTAATTTAATTAACACGGTGTGTAAATTTACGTTCGTTAAGAGAGGAAACTGGTTACCTTAATATGCGCAAATTTAAACAAAATTTAAAAATAGGTTAGTACACATTAAGCTTCCGACAAAATTGCACTTTGGCGAACTTATTTTATAAAAGTTTGACATATTGTGATATATGCGTAGAGCAAAATTACACATAAAATGTTTAAAATTGACTAAATATTAGCACTTAATGTTTATTATTAATAGAAACTGTATTTTTACTTTCCAAACGTTTGTAATTTTGAACATTTCGTGTGTATATTTTTAACAACTCATGTTCAAAATCAAATCTTGGACATCTTATGCGTATATTTACAGATTCTGGTTGAAAAATGTACACTTTTCAGTAGTAGTTTTACATGCACTTTTTAGAGTGTAGTCAAAATAAAGGTAACGTTTAACTTAGTAGCGTACTTCACCAGCCTGTTGCCTCACTCTTTCCTCAAGAAATAATGGAACGGGCATATATTTCTGTTGCAAGCATGGGTAGCCTTGTGGTCTTTTTTCACAAAAAAACTTTAGAAAACCGTAGTAGAAAGCGTAGAAAATTTCTTAAGAACTGCGTACTGCCTCAAGAAAATTTTACACAAGAAAATTTCTTTGCCATTTCTTTTACGTCATTTTATATGGAGTTTTTGCTTTTCTTGAAAGCTGGATACTAGGCTTAAAGAAGAATTCCTGTCAACAAATTTACTAACTTTAGAATTAACTTAAAATTAACTTTAACTGACAACGCTTTAATAAAATTCCTTCGCCTATAGATGTTACTTTATCTTTACAAAATGTTTCCATTACTTGCTTAAACTACAGATACCCTATCCATTTCTACACTTAAGTCGCAATTTCCATATTTTCGTTAATACTACTAAAGCAAATACATATCACATGATG